GCCCGGGCCCGGGGGCCGCGCGGGGCCGGCGGAGCTCAGGCAGCTCCGCGCTGAATTCCGTCCCCAGCATCGGGAGATGCAAAAGCTGGGCTCGGGTTTTGGCGGTAAAACGGCTGGAAAGGCAGCGAAAAGGGCCGGGATCCCGCCAAGACATAAGTGGCCACAGCGCCGCTGCGATGCCTCTGTTCAGAGGTGCATCCCAGGGACACGTCTGTGGGCCTTTCCTTATAATCGTTCTTTTCTCGGGCACGTGGATGGTTATCGGTATTCACATTTTCATCAGTCAAGTTCCATAGGGCCCTGAATTTCTCTTCTCAAACACTTTCGTAACTTGAAACTCCTCGTCAAAACTTGGATGCCTGAGATGTTCAGTATTTGAGATCTTCAGGCTGGGCGCATGCTAATCCAAGACCCACGCGGGAACTTGGAGCATACACAACACGCCTTGGCAGTACTGAATGAAAAATACAGATGGTAGTTCACTTTTTTTAGGAGATAAGGTGGTGTGATAGTGTCCATCTTTTATAAATACACAGTCCAAGAGAAGTGGGAGTTCAGTATTGTGTGTACAGAAACAAATTTGAGACTAAGACCCAACAGCATCTCTCTTCGGAGCTGGTACCTCAGTCAGATGCAGTGATCCGGATGTCTGTGTTCACAACTGCTGTGTAAAAGCTGGTCGCCTCTTCCTCCACCATCATGGTATCTTAGAAGAGTAAAAGTTTACTTGCAGACAAAATGCACTGTAAGTTTTCAGACCCCCTGATAATGTGGGTGTCTAGATCCATAACTCCCTTTTAGGCTTGAATCTTCCTCTAACGCAAGGGCTTCAAGGAGAGATAAATTCCAGGGAGAGGTCAAGGATTTAATTTTTTCTGCAGCATCTGACTGGAGCAGCATAGGTAGCTGCCACTCAGTCTGCTGTTTGCATCTTGTCTGAATTCCACTTGGGATTGCACAAGTCTGCCCATGCACGCCATGGCTAGCTCGTCACTGTGGATTCTGCTTTCAGGCAACATGTCCAAAAATTTAGGTATTGTCGCAGTGAATGTCACGACTCAAATCTCTTCATTGATCTAATCCTATTGGGCTTTTTCTTCTTTATGAGCGGTTGATCATTTTGACTAATGTTGTTTCTGTCAAACTGGTCTCATGAGGATGTACTTTAAGGTTATAAAACTTTTCACAGAATTTTATATGATTTTTGCATGCACAGTTCAATAAGCTTAAATAATAATAAATACAGTTTATTAGTACATAGAATCAATTTTGTTTTGTAGTATGTGCTTAAAAATACAGAGAGAAGTCCATGATAGTGGGACTGAAAAAGTTTCTGAAAAAACAGTTGTCGAGCCCTAGCAGATGTGCACTATGATGTGCCATGAAAGTAGTGTTTACTTTAATTTCATACTAAATGTTAAGTATGTTCTGTTATTCACTGGAAACCATTCAATATAAATCTTGATCCCCATGCACAATTTTAAAAGCTTTGAGTTTAAAATAGCTTTACAAACTACAGTTGTAGTTTGAAAAACCTTTGCATATAAACATATTCTGTTTTTAGGACTGACTTCCTATTCAAAGGATAAAAACTGTATACAAACATATAATGCTGGTGGTGTAGAGAGGATGGGCTAAGAAAGGCAGTGTGGCAAGGTTTAGAGGGAGAGATTATATCTGTTATTAGACCAACTGATATAGTTTAAAAAAACCCACAAGGTCTGCGTTCCTGTTCACCCCTGGTATATCAGTCAGCCTAGTAACATTTCCCTAAAACGTCTTTGTACAAACTGTAACCTGAACTTTTTTTTTCAGAAAGCAAGGTGGTTTTCATGCACATCTCACTCAGGTGTTTTATTTGTCTGTCTAAAAAATTGATCTCTTGAGAACAATAGCAGTTGTTCTTAGTATTCTGTGAAAAAAACCAAAACAGTTTTATATAGACTAAAAGTGCATTTTTATTTTTTTTTTCAGGTAGTTCGTGTGTATGTCAGCCAGGATACAGGATGGTTTCTAGTAATGGTGGGTCCTCCATTATTTGTGAAAAATGCCCAGAAAATACGGTAAGTGTTGAACTTTTCATACTTTGTCATAATAATAATGCTTTTTTAAATTTTAAATTTCCTGCTATTATTTTGCATAATAGTCCTTGCTTGGGAATTTTTAAGACCATACTTAGAGGTAGTAATTTTTTTTCTCTTTAGAAGTGTTTATTACTGTTGTTTTGCAAGCATTTTTTTTATGATAAATTTCACCTCACAGACAAAGTAAGAGTATTTTAAATTTAAATGTTTCATTTCCTTCCACTGCTTTTCTTTTCTGCTTCATGTTATGTTATCCTTGCCTGGAGACCACTGTTTTATAGAATGCCAAAGATGTGTTTCAGCTCAGAGGTATCTTATTTGATTATTTATATAAATCCTATTATTATAATATTTAGGCTGTATTTTCATAGTCCCTGGTATTTTACCTTTTTACTTCAAAATGAGCTGCTGCTGGTATGTTACTTTAATTATATATATCTTTGTAGTTTGGTCAGTTCTTTCTACCTTTATTGACAAATTAAGCTATAAATTTGGGTCATATTCACACCATTGAGCCAGAGGCACCAAGCTTAACCAGCTTTTTCCCACTATAGTAAATAGAGAAATAATTTTTCTCCAGCAAAAACAACTTTTCCGGGTAAGAGCCTTCCTGAATACTTCTTTCTCTCCAATAACTGTAGAAGAACTCTCAGGAGACCGGCTTAGTTGCATGAGTTAGGTGTTTAATGGCTAATGGGTAATGTAAGTAATTTCTTTCTTCTTTCCATCTTCTTGCTGCGTTAGACAAAGACATTGACAAATATCCATTGGCGTTTTGATCCTTCTGCTGTTTCTTTCTCTTTCCTGTAATGGTGGTATACATCTTTGATCCTATGGCAAGGATTATGCAAAGATAAAACGATGATAGTGGAGAAGGGAATAACATCTGTATCACCTGAGGATGAGCAGTTATCTTCATTTTCCTCATTGGTTTTGATTAGTAGTGCAGCTACTTTGGGACATAAGTGTGGATGTGAACTGTTTGGGTACGTGCAAAATTCCATGCGGTTATATAAGCTGCTTGACTTAAGACGCCTCCATTTCCATAACTTCTATATATTTATATGCACGTATGTCTATTTATGCAGTTATGTTTAGCCATTTTTTTTTCGGTGTAGAACCTCTATATCTTTTTTTATACCTTCCATTTTTAATGAACTCTTATCTTCACTAAAGTGTGTTAGCTAATGGGTTCAGAAAAACTTAAGAACACTTTTTTCAGTCTATGCATAGAAATTACTTTTGCTAGATTGTTTAGACTTTTTTATCTTTAAAAGCTTCATGAATGTTATCGTTGTTGTTGTATCTGAACACATTTTCTAGTAAATAACATCTGGATCAGGCATTCTTCACAAATATCTGGTGATGTCTATATTTTTAAAAATTATAATAGTTTTACATTTTATTTTAGAGCGGAGTTACTCAGGATGGGTGGAGTTGTATTACTTGTCCTAAAGGCCTAACTTCAGAAGGAAAATGTAAATGCCTCAATAATGAAATATTAGGTAAGAAATGTATGCAAGTTATGAGATATTAGTGCTTATTTGAGATGTTTGAGTTTGAGAAATTAAATTTAACATATGTTTACATATCTAATGTAAAAATTCAACATTCCTCTTGATCTTAAGCCTCGTTCCTGAAAGACAGCAGATAAGTCTGTACCGTTGTTCATTGCAATAAGAACTATTATGCAAACATTCAGAAAATGAATACTGGTGTATCACTTCCTTTAAGCTGGTTGACACTGGGTGAAGGCATTAAAATTGGGATAAAAACAATGTCAATATAGACTAAGAAAAAACATTAAAATGTTTTGAAGGATATAATGTGTAGGTACTTCACAGTACAGGCATTATACTTCTATAAGTAGGTGGAACAGAATAGCCTGAGCAAGCCAAGGAAACTACTATGTGTTAATATCAGTGGATTTCATACCTCCCTGAGACACACGCCTATATCTGTGATTTCTTGTGACATGCTTCCCTATATCTGTGCCTCTTACTTGATGCTCTGTAATAGTTGCAGATGAATTTCAGTAGACACAGAAAATTAATTTTAATATTAACTTTAGTGTCTGTGTTAACTATGTTTTTGCTTATCTTGCATAGTAAAAAACTAAGAGCAGAGTATAAATTTCATCAAGGGTGTAAAACAAAAAAGCTCTTGGGAGCCCTAGTCTTCCTTATTTTCAAAGACACAGGATGTAAAGGACTTTCCGTGTGCCTGTAATTCTTTGAATTAGTATTACTAATGTCCACTTTGGTTACATTTCTAACAGAGTATACTGGAGAATCACTGTCTTCCAGATCATTAATTTAAAAAGGAATCTGTAAAAAGGTGAATACCAAATCATCTCCTTTAAACTTTATGGGAGATACAAAACACACTGCAAGCCTTTATGGTAAAATATTGAGAGCAAAGCTGATTCTGTAATTTAACATGCAGAAAGAACATTAGTATTGTAATTCTTTTGATTCTCTTTGTATCTCTTTTTTTTTTTACAATTAGACTTGAAATCTCTTGCCAAATTATTTCATTGCTGGGAGGTGTAGTTTTGAAAATGTGAATTTGTGACATTCGCATGTATCATTTCAGATGAAAATGAAAAATAATTTTCTAGTAATTTGTAAACGTGATATTTTGAGTTTTAGCTTTGCAGTGAAGTCTTGGTTTGAAATTTGGTTCAGAATAAATAACAAAGGAACAGCAAAACTGGACATGAAATATTGCATTTCTCATTAAAACTAGACTCATGTGCATACCTATAAACAGTGCACATATACATATATGAATGTGCATTTATAGCGGATGTTATTTGCAAGTTGTGCTCTTGATTTTTTTTTAAATAAAATGTTTGCATTTATTTTAGATCTGTGTAGTCACTTTATTTTTTCACACTTTTCTTAACCTGCGTGACATACTGTGCATCATGCAGTTTTATAACAGTTGCTTTTCTTTTCCACTTAGTGGAAAGAAGTATCAATGGCATTTTGCTTAATGAAGCATTGTGCATACATTGTAATGGAAGTGAGCAATCATTCTCTGCTTCAGATGCGTCAGGAAATAGGTGAGTATTCTTTTCCTTTTGTGATGATAAATTTGAATGTGTCATGTTCTGTTTAAATGGAATATTCTTGAGGAACAGTCTGTATCTTTGGGATGACAGTTTTAAAAGCAGTGAATTGGAAATCCTCAACCCCATATCCAGCTCAATACGTTTTGTGTTCACTGAAGTCCCTATATGACCAGCAGCTTGGTTTGATTGTTTGTTTTGCTTTACTGTCACTACAAGTGGGCTTTGGATTGGAAGCAGAAATGGAATTCTTATTTTGATAATTAACTATTTAATTTCTTTTCTACTTCACTGACAGTAGAAACAAATCAGGAATGGATTGGATTTCAGTTCAAACTGGTGAAGATGCTGACAGTGTTATCAGGCATGCTTTGTAATCAGCTTTGAATAAGTACTAAATCTCATACTTAACTACATTTTAAGTGCATTCTTCATGTTTGTGATCCAGGTGTGTAAGATGTGAACAAACATTCATCAATGTAAGCAAGTCTTGTGACTGCAACAGCCCGAACGTTTTAGTAAGTAGAAGAATGCTTATTGTATTGAAGCTCAGAAGAAGAAAAGTTGTGTTGACAAATGTATAAATTTCCATTTTTTTATTTCGGTTTTTTTGTTTGTTTTTTTTTTTTTCAGACTGGGGGATTGTGTTTCAGTGCTAGTGACAGCTTACCCCCAAAGGGAGTTGCAACTGTTCGTTTTGGAGAGCTAGTAAGTGTGTTTATTCTAGAACATTTTCAAGCTATCTCATTATTTACTTTCAGTAAGTCTTTTAAATTCCATTCCTGAGAAACAAAGGTGGTGGTTTGTTGTGTGATCACAGTGATTGCAAGGTAATTTGCATGAAGATAGAGTGTAGACATGTAGACAGGGCAAGCATTGTTCTAACGGAATATGTTTAAGAAAATTCATGCCCTCTTGGAAACTGAAAAAAGGGAAGTAATTTACATGAATTTAGTATCAAAACAAGTAGTATGTGGTCTGTTGTATTAATTGTATGTATTTAAAACACACTCATCACAAAAACATGCTGAAGGGTTTATGAGAGACTCTGGGCTTTTAAAATTTAGTTTTCTTTTTACTATGTAAAACTGGTATTCATATAAAATATTTGAAAGAGATTGAAAGGACACTTCTAGTTGTCACATGGTTAGAGCTGATAGAAGAAAACAGACACCTATACAATTTGAGATTGTGTATGAAATTGTTGAACTCCTTGAACTGGCTAATGACTGAAAATGTGTTCTGTTGAGAAGAATGAAGATGTTTTCATTGTTTTAGCTAATGAACTTGTATTAGTTGTGAAATCTGCTTGAAGTCAGGACCATTTCCCATGTAGTTCTGAATTCAGGAAATGCTATGTGGCCAATAAATGTAGCTTGTTCTTAAATCATAGAATCGTTTAGGTTGGAAAAGACCTTTAAGATCAAGTCCAACTGTTAACCTAGCACTGCCAAGTCCACCACTAAACCACGTCCCTAAGCAACACATAGACACATCTTTAAATACCTCCAAGGATGGGGACTCAACCACTTCCCTGGGCAGCCTGTTCCAGTGCCTGACTACCCTTTCGGTGAAGAAGTTTCTCCTAATATCCAACCTAAACTTCCCCTCGCACAACTTGAGGCTGTTTCCTCTTGTCCTATCACTTGTTACTAGGGAGAAGAGACCGACCCCCACCTCGCTACAACCTCCTTTCAGGTAGCTGTAGAGAGCAATAAGGTCTCCCCTCAGCCTCCTCCAAACTAAACAACCTCAGCTCCCTCAGCCGCTCCTTGTGTGACCTGTTCTCTAGATCCTTTACCAGCTTCGTTGCCCTTCTCTGGACACAATCCAGCACCTCGATGTTCTTCTTGTAGTGAGGGGCCCAAAACTGAACACAGTACTTGAGATGCGGCCTCACCAGTGCCGAGTACAGGGGCATGATCGCCTCCCTGGTCCTGCTGGCCACACTATTCCTGATACAAGCCAGGATGCCATTGGCCTTCTTGGCCACCTGAGCACACTGCTGGCTCATGTTCAGGTGGCTGTCCACCAACACCCCCAGGTCCTTTTCCACCAGGCAGCTCTCCAGCCACTCCTACGCAAGCCTGTGGCGTTGATCTATGTTCCCACCCAACTTGGTGTCGTCTGCAAACTTACTGAGGGTGCACTCAATCCCCTCATCCAGATCTTTGATAAAGATATTAAACAGAACTGGCCCGAATACTGAGCCCTGGGGAACACCACTCGTGACCGGCCGCCAACTGGATTTGACTCCATTCACCACAACTCTCTGGGCCCGGCCATGCAGCCAGTTTTTAACCCAGCGAAGAGTATGCTCATCCAAGCCATGAGCAGCCAGTTTCTCTGGGACAATGCTGAGGGAAACAGCGTCAAAGGCTTTACTAAAGTCCAGGTAGACAACATCCACAGCCTTTCCCTCATCCACTAGGCGGGTCACCTTGTCCCATGAATTAAAGTTAAAGGCTATTGCTTGAAAGAAAGCAAAAAGCAGTATTCAGTTTTCCTGACAGCAAATATTGGTCTTGATTTCTGAAAATGCAGCCTACTAAATAATATTTTATTGAAAACATGTCTTTTCAGTTGCTTACAATATGTACGAAAGCTATGTTTAGTCCAAATATGAGTAGTTGTAGAAAGCAGGTTGTGAAATAATTAATTTGGCAAATATGATACTGAGCTAAATTTACCATGCAGTCAACACCTTACCCTTGAAATCATTAGTACTTCCCTTGTGCAGTAAACTCCTTTGTCACAGAATCCATATTCAGAAGTTAAATACTTCTGCTCTTGTTCTGTACATTTTGTCTAATTTAGTGAAGTGAAACAAATTATTGAATTATGGTTGTGTTTTCAACTGAGCTGGTTTGATTTAGACATTTACAAAGGACAGAAAGCTCTTAAAATAAGTAGCATCTTTTAGCTGACAAAGTTCTCCAGATGGTTACATTGTGGTTAAATTGTTCTGAACAAAGATAGTGAAGCAGTTTCTTATTTACAGGGTATAACACTGACATCGGCATGGTTTCTGAAAAACCTGCAATCCTCAGCCTCTGCCTGCTGGGTGAGTTTCATTAATGCTTGCCGTTTGCTTTTTTTTATATAGAAGCGATACTCTGTATAAAAGCATGGGACTTTAGTTTTTGGAAGTTACCTTGCTTATTTTTAAAGAATCCTATTTTGAGATGACAGTAGTTAAGAAAGAAATATATATACAGAATGTTTAGAAAGGATATTGAGTGCTAGTCGATGTTAATGCAAGTCTCCAGGGTTGGAATCTTCACAAGGTGAATGGTGGTAAACAAAAAATCCTGCAGTAGTCAGTAGGTATGTGAACTGTTATTGTGTATATCCAGCAAGTGATCACTCAGAAAATTAACTTCTCACATACTCGGTATTGATTGGCAGCTGGTCTTTACCTCTTATTTGGCTTTCAGGTAATCATTCTGTTTTGCGATGGAGAAGGATAACCATAGAACCATCCTTTTTAGCTTTTCTTTGATTTATGTATGCAAGTGTTATTTACCATTATATTGGTCTGGGTGGCAGCAGCCATGGGGGGAAGAGTGGCTGCGGCAACAGAATCACACACACTTGTGAAGGGGATGTGCCTCTGCCTCCTTTTTCCCAACCCTGTTATCACACATCCTCATTTCCCTTCCGTATTCCTCTCCTCAAAATCAGATTTTAACTTCTCAGGCCCTACCTTTTCTCCCAATCTGTCACGACCTGAAGGGTTACCTGGCTTACAGGTGTATAAAGATCACAACAGTGGGTTTGCAGAATTCTGTAATACACAGGCACACGGAATCTTTATTTCCTACATTTCTTTATTACCAATTACTACAAATTACTACTAGTAAAGTGAGTATACTTATGATTAATAAAGCACGTATATATGTATTACAATGGTAGCAGCAATAAATAGTAGCAGCAAGCATATATTTCAATATTACAAGTTACTACAAAATTATCACTAATAAAGCAGCACGTACACTTATGGTCAATTACCTATATGCATGCCTATGTAGATATATTATTCAAAACAGTACCAATACAGTGCTCACCAAACAGCTTTCAGGAGTGGGGCCTCGAAATTGACGACGGACGAAGTCTCACTTCGAAGATGATCCATGTTGCGGAGTCTGGAGTCAGCCAGACATCCCCAGCAATGGTCTGATAACTTGCCTAGGAGAGCTCATAGAAAAGTTTGTGCAGGGGGAGTTCTCTGTGTGTGTGTGAGAGAGAGACAGACTGACAGACAGACTGACTGACAGACAGACAGGGACAGATTCATTCTCCATTTTGGTTTAAAAAAAAGTCATTTTTGTATCGCAGAGACATAAGGGGGTGTAGGACAGCACCACAGCTCCTTGGTTTTGTGCTTATCAATGGTATCTCAGGATGTCTCTGGTGTTTAGGTACCCAGCTGCCCTTCTCAAGGACGTTTCTGATTCCCAGACCTAGTTCCCACGCTGGCAGGCATTCCCTCTGTCAGTATTTCAGCAGACTTCTGTTCAGTATTTTCCCAGACCACCTTTGTGGCTGCTCCCATCACCATCTCATACACACAGCTCTGAGATGTATTCTCCTACTTACCCCATTCTTTTTCACAAACTGAGACTATCCTCATCACTTACATAAGTTTATCCTGTTTGTCTGCCTCAGCCTGCTCAGCTCTTCGGAGGTGCTGCCTGAGTATAACCTGCAACTCCCGATCTGACGCACACAAAGGCAATAGGTGTTGGCAAGTTAATGCTAGTGCAGTGATCACTGCACGCAGATGCCAGGCATCACTTCTGTCTATCACATGGCAGTGGTTTGTTTACCAAAATTGAACAATGGTATAAATAGTTTAGGAACAGCAGAATAAAAAAAGTACTAAAACTGAAAAGGAGATATTTACGATACATGCAACTATAGTTGTCAGTCTTAGGTCTTTGATGGAGTCATCTTTGTCATACAGCCTAAGTGATGTTAAACATTTTGATTCTTACTTGGTTTTCTAAATGCAGATTTTGACATTTCTGTCACAACCGAAAAAGCGAGAGCATTGATTTCATGCTGCCATCTGCAGACCTATAAAAATCTGGAACCTGAAAAGCTGGAAGAAAATATTAGGTGTTGACAAAATGAAATCACTTTGAAATAAAAATGAGGGTTTAGGACTGTCTTATTAAAGATAACATTAATTTTATGACTGCCTCACCAAAAGGAAGGGTAAAGAAATACTATTCTGTGTTCTTGTGTTTCTCCACTGCAGTTGTACTCCAATCTAACAGCATGCCAAGCTCTTGGAAATATGTGTGTAATGAACATGAATTCATTGAGTTCTTCAAGTACTGATGCCTGTGGTTTATTTCAGTATATTTATGTCAATACAGCAAGGCTAGGCATTGTTCATTCAGTAGCCTTCTGGTAAGTTGCCTGTTCTATAACTTCAGTCTTTAATAGTGTTTTATGGAAATTATTATTCTAAATGTTCTTTGATGCAAAACGTTATGTTTCTTTAGAGAAAACATTGTAACTGTTTTCAGGAGGCATAATCTTCCATGGCTATATTACGGTGATCAACCAGGATTAGCATCCCAAGTGCTTGAGGCAAATCATTTCCCTACAAAAAAAACCTACAATCTCTTCAGTTAAAGGAACAGATAAGGTAGGTGTTGGGTAGTAGACATGGGGAAACAGACATTTGGAAGAGGACATAATCACATAAAGAGGTTTAGATTCATTGCAGATGTGGCTCCCCTAAAGATAATTTTTGGGTAGTTAGTGTAACAAAACTCAGTGTGAGATCTTATGGAACAGGAAGGTGATATTTATGTAAAAAATCTCTAGGTAAGATGATTTTACTGACTTACGCTCACTTGCTCACATATTTAATTTGCTTATGCTCTCACACCCACGTTCTCATAAGGCCAAGATGTGCTTGCCTGAGTGGTTTGACCAGGATCAATTGTGTGTGACACAAGGAACAACAGATGCCAGCTATTAAATTCTCATTATGTCCCCAAGGTTATTCTGGATTGGCAGTGATGAACTAGTAACTAGACAAATCTTTTATGCCCCATAGGAGTTAATAGGTGTTTTGGCATTGTCCTTTGCTTCAGAGTCTTGTTTCTTTCAGTCTCCATAAATCTGAAGCAAAGCTGATCTTTATCTTTTTCCCTTGTTTGAAATACATGCATCCTTTTGTCAGTTTTCCTGGTGAGCTCATTGGAAAAAGAGGAGTATATGTGATGTATTGTAACTTTGTTGCCATTCTCCTGGTGCCAAGATGCGGGATCTTTTGCTGACAAGTTGTCTGTGCCATGGTTTTATCAGAACCCATTTCTCAGCTTTATTGCTGGGAACAATGTTCTTCATTATTGCTATGCAGTGTTTAACCCTTCTGTTGCTTCTGGTGCTTACACACACATTTCTATCCATACTTCATTTATACCAACCTTAATATCTCTGTTACAAATCTCTTCAAGTTGAGTTGTATCAGCAGTGGATTCAGTCTGTTACTCCAGCCTTTTCCTGTTTCTACAGTGAATTAGAAAAAAAAAAAAGAGGTGAGGAAAAATGATCATTTCAATGTTAACAAAGCCAGGGATCCATCCCTGGGAGGGATAGACTCCTTAAGTAGCTTGTTAACTGCCACAGTTCTAAGAAGGAATCAAACAGTAAATTGAAGAGTAAAGCATTTAATTTTACAGATTCATTGTAAAATTAGAATAACTGGACTAGTTTATTCAGGTTAAGCTAATCACAGGAAGTAAGTAATGCTAGTGATTACCTGTTTGTCAGTTATACTGCCAAACTTATCTTAAGTTTTCTTATTGACTCAGAAATAAAATAATAGTTTTTTTCAGCCATATTCTAAAAGGTTGTGTTTTAAATTCAACAATGTTGCAATGCAGCTTCTGTTTTAACAACTAAAATACTCATTATTCTTTCCAACACTGAAGGTCCTGGAAGCCCTCAAGATCCCAACCTGGAATACAGTAGAAATCTGCATAGATTTCTGATTAATTTAGGGCATGTCTACCTGTATAGAAGTTCCTTTGGAACTTTTTCCCTGTCACCAATGAAGCTGTAGAATTGTAAAGTATGTTTTTTAAAAAAAGTAAACTACCAAAACCAAGATTAAAAACATAAAATCAAAGGGAAAAAATGAAGCATTTAGCTGAAAGTTTTAGGGAAGCACCAAACGATGAGACAGCAGTCCCTGAAATGTGTATGTCCACTTTATGGCAGTTTCATTGTTTCTTTATCTTTTTTCGTCATCAGGATGTAAAGCTGCAATTTATTGCAGCCTCATTTGATGCAGCAGGAAACTTTCTTAAGTGGCAAAATTTGGAAGGAGGCATCTTACAGGTACATTCAATTTTAATTATCTTTTGTTGATACCATAACGTTCTGATTGCCTTTAGCCAAATTAAGACAAAAGCCAAGAGTTTGGTTACTACAGTAGTGACAGTTCATGAGATAACCATGGAGCTAATTAGGGCAAATAGCCCTTGATTCTTGGTCACGATGATCTCTACAAAATCAAAAGTATAAATTCAGCAACATTGCCGTCATCCATTGGACCAATATAGATTTGGAATATTGGAAAGCTCTGAAAAACAGCACTAGTCTTTTAGAACCATCTCTTTTTTCCATTCAGCATACAGTTACCCATGTACATAATCAATTAGCCCTCTTTTTCTTGGTGAGAAAAGTATGTTCTTTAGCTCTCAGTCCACATACATCTATAGAAAATTCTGGGAGTATGTCCCTATTGGATGCTGTCACCTGTTTTCACACATTATGGGGATGCCAAGCAAATCAGTGATTATGTCACTATCAAGAGAGGTAGGAAAACTGATCTACCACTGCATGTTCTTTCAGTTTTCTTGGGATTTTTTGTTTATTTCTTCTGGTTTTAATATAAAATATACACTCTGGCCAGCAACTGCCTGGCTTTTTCATAACAGAAAGTTATAAAAACTTGCTGGGAGACTTTACATAGAATTGGGGAACACTGGCTAGAGTACCCTGGGACACTCTACCCTCAGATTTCAGTGGCATGTGCACATTCTACTTCAGCAGTACCATGCTGTATAGGGTGTGAAAAATGCGAGGAAGAAGCAAGTGGAAAGCATAATTGAGTAATTAGCCTAACAGCAGAAATTGGCAGCTGCGAAACGGAGTAGAATTTGTTTAGCAGTCCAGTGGTGATCTAGGCACTCTCAGCAATTCCCTAGGCTGGCAACAATAGCAAGAACAATTGGGAATTGTCTGTCCCCTTTTCTAGGCTCTTCATGTCACTCTTGGAGCACATCACTTCAAATGCTCCAGTATCTACAGAAGAGCAGCTGACATTCAGAATTTAAATAGTGACGGCTATTTCTTTTGTTATTGTCTCAGGATGAACTGTCTTGCATCTGCCTCTCAAATTTTAAGGAAAACTAGTGTCTGAGAAAACAGGTTACCAAGCCAATTACTGTGCATAGAAAATGAGATATTCCGACATAGATTTTGAGGTTTATTGAGATATTCCGACATAGATTTTGAGGTTTATTGGGACACATTAATTTCCGAAATGCAGAGCTTTTAGTAGCTATTAAAAATCAATGGGAAAGGAATATTTTTTCCATTCAAAGCCTCTTTTAATGTCATAGATTGTGTATGATGACAATACATCGCAGTGCTAAAGCAACCTCAATGCATAGTTTTAGCAATTCCCAGAATTTCAGTTGCACACTAATAGAATTGTGTTTTCTGTAAATTTAGACTTGATTTTCATTTTGGGAAAATGGCTGTGCCCTCCACTAAGTGCCATGCTCATTTAGTTAGAATTTGGCCCATTTTTCTGGGTTCTGCTTAGAACGACTTGTTCTTAAATGTAAAAGTTACATTGAAAAAGGAAAAAAAAAAATCTGTTACTTGCCATGATAACTTTGATCCTCTGAGAATGCTAGCTTAAGAGAAAGGGGGCAATATGAATGTGGAGTTCTGTTCTCATGGGATGCTTGGATGTAGCAGAAGCCACTAATAAAGCTTGAGGCAGCACAGTGCATTGAATCCCGAGAAAGATTATTCTTACCTGTTTGGATGCCGCTGTCCACAGATTTCAACTTCAGTGATGGAACTGAAAAATACTATGCAAGTATGAATAAGCTAAAACAGCGTTTTAAGAACACCAATATTAATACAATAAATAATCGTGTTTACTCTTCAAAATCAGTCCCTCTCTTCTTAAAAATAGAACAAAATATCTCTTGTGAGAACTGTGAATACATAAACTGCTTGGAGTACCTGTGAATATTTCATGTGAGAAAACAATACCTTTGAATTAACCTAATTATAATTATGTTTTGTTCAGCTTTGTCCTGATACCCAAACTAAATTGAATGCAGCCTATACATTTGGAACAACTTACCAACAAAGCGTAAGTAAAAGAAAAAATGTTATTCTGAATTTTGAATTAAGTAGCTTTACACGTCATCAGTAATTCAGTGCATATTGAAGGACCTCTGGAGTTTAGTCATAAGCTGCAACATGGACTTCTCTCTTGTGAAACTGTTGCTTAATTTATTATTGAGCGAAATAAATGTATTTTTAAAAATTATTTAACTATACATAACAAAACTTGTTTACTACATAGGATAATCAAAATAAATTGAACTGGCATTTGCATTAGTGAGGCTGCTGACTTATCAGTAGGAGAACATAATGCCTGGATTCTGACAGCCATATACTTTGCATTGTAACTTCTAATTTTCCTGCCTCCACTTTTGCACAGGTTTCA